GTGTGAGGGTCAGAGCTGTGAGGGTCAGAGCTGTGAGGGTCAGATCTGTGAAGGTCAGAGCTGTGAGGGTCAGAGCTGTGAGGGTCAGAGCTGGCTGAGTTGCCGCACATTTTCACGTCAAGTTTGGGTTTTTAGAAATCACAAACTTTGTGTGAAAAGTGGCGTACACAAGTTTCTGGTCCTGTTTTGTGCAAAAACAAGCTTTTAAAAATCAGACCACTGAACAAAATCTATTTGTTCACAGACCTTGATGAAGGAGGACCATAAAAAACTGACCATCTCACCAGGAAGAGGAAAACGGGGGTACCCCCTTAAAGTCAGGTGTGGGGTCAGAGCTGGCCAGCAAACTTCTGTTTTTTTTAGCACAGCTGTGGCCCTGTGGGGCCCCTGTCTGAAGGGACAGATTACAATGCTGTGAGTCATGTGGCCCTGTGGAGCTGGGGTCCAGACCTGAACTGGTTTTAGGTCCTAGGCTTTCAGTCCCACCTGTGGCTCTTTGATTGCATGAAATGATGTYTTTATTATTTCTTGTTTCTGTTTGTTTTTCTTCTTGCATCTGTTTGTGTGTTTATACTGATTTATGTGATTTGCTCTGTGAGGTGTTGAGTTGTCTGTTCTGCTCAGCTGTTAGTGATGTTGCTGTGGTGATGTGTGTTCATGAATTTCAGAGGCAGAGACCCTGAAGGACCACTCAGTGAAGGGGGTCTTTGTTTGGGCTGTTTAATTGAAACAACATTTTTACTCTGAAATGAGCCGCTTTTGTTTTTCAGTTCTATTTTATTCAAGGTTTTAATGATAACCAAACAGAATGATGTTATCTGATGACTAAAWACAAACTGTTCAGGTTCAGGTTTAGTCAGATTTGCAGAAGATTTTCTTTCATTTTGTTTCATTTTCATGTCAAACTGCTGAATGTTCCAGAGCTTTAGATGCTCTGCTCTGTTATTGGGACTATCAAGGTTAGTCTTTTAGTAATACTCAGATACTCTGATATTCACATACAGGCTTGACTGATAATGAAAACACACTGAGGAGTAAAAAGGTAAGGTAGTTGATTTTACAGGTGAATCACACCAGGAAAGTCCTTTGGTCCATACCAAATGGTGAACTTAATTTTTTTTCCTTTGGTGCTGTTTGCTTTCACATTGAGCTTTTAGCAAGTGGACTATAATTAATAAATAAATCCATGCAGTTGACAGTCATTACTCCTAGAAATGATGGGGGAGGAACAGAGCAGGAAATAAAGATGGTTCTGTTAATACAACTGACTATAAGAATATCAACAGCAGCTTGTCAAATGTTGAGAGCTAAAGGAGATGACATGCTCCATGTTCCCTGACCCACAGCGGCTCATTGTTTGTAGCACAGTGTTAGCATTAACAACACTGGAGGGCTAATGTTGTTTAACTACAGTTGCCTGTGAAGTCCAAAATGGTGCATATTTCCTGTAGTTGGTTGGTTCTGAGGCTGGTCTGTTTTCACACCAGAAGCGAATGAAGACCACCTCAAAAACAGGTCTGATCCAGTTGTTTGATCTGCACCAGGGTTCAGGAGTGTAAGAGCTTTCTAAAATAAAATTTAAAAAATGGTCTGGACTAATGGGGGATCCAACTCTGGTCGGTTTAAAGAGGATCAAATGTGTCAGGTGTGAATACACCCTCAGGAACTGTGCAGGTCCTGAAAGAGAAGGGGTATACGTCAGTTTTTGGTTTTAGAACAGTGAGGTAAATAATCATGTGTTCTCTGTCTTCAGGTTTCACTGAGGAGGCAGACATGGAGGAGGAGGCAGTGGAGTTCCAGAGGTATGGATCAGATGTTCCAGATTGTTTCTTTGCAGAAGGATTTCTAGAGAGGCGAGAGTGACAGGTCTGAGGAGATGACATTAGCCAGCTGATTGATCCAGCATGTTGCTGGCATGGAAGAGGATCATGAGGAGGTTCCAACCAGGAAACAAGTGAGTTGACAGAAACCACAGGAGAGTACCTTAACACAGAAAGAAGCCAACATTACTCAATGAATCTTTCATAGAACAAACTTGTGGCTGTACCAATCAGTACCAAGAATGACTGAATGTTCCAAGAAGGGATGGAGCTCTCCCCTCAGCTTGAAAACCAGCTGGGCCTCATCACCAGATCAGGAACAGGTGAGTAACTCCACCACCAAGGTCACTCAGGATCTGCAAGGTGAGTCAAAGAACACCACAACAGAATCTCCACAGGGACTGTGTTTTATAACAAAAAACTGTTGGTTTTATGTGTATATTGTAGTAATACAGCATTCATTCAGTTTTACTCTTTTACTCATAGATCTCAATTTTAATGAAAGGTTCAAATACAAATATTAAATCATCTATTATCATTTATAAACACAGTTTTCCTGATAAATATCTGAACCTTTGATTTTAGAAGAGACTGAACTGTATTTTTGTTATAAAAGAAACAGAAGGAAGAGATGCTCATTGTAGCCTTTAATTCTGTGGTAATTATTGGCTCCTTTGTATCTACACCCAGTATGTTGGGTTTCTGGTCACAGATTCAGCTTTTATTGTTCTGCTTCTAAATAGTTACTGCACTTCAGAGGCTAATGGAAAGTGCAGTTTTTATTTATTTTTTGGGGGTGAAACCACTGCAGACAAGTGCCTGCAGCCTTAACGGCTCACATCTACTGTATCCATTGGCTTCTGGCCAACATCCAACATCAGCTGAGTCTCACCTGGAACAGGGCCATGTGCACATAAATATTGTAGTAAATTGGCTTGTTTGTGTTCATGCTTTCTGATAGGTTCCTGTGATCATCACCTGCACCTGTTGTGGAGTTCCTGATGAGCTGCTGGGCTTCATAAGCTGTCTACACTGTTTGGTCTGTGCTGATGATTCTAACATTTATGGTAGTGTTTAAGCCAATTCTAAGTCTATAGTAAAATATTTTTTGTACTTACCTTTTTGTCCTGTGCTCAAGGTGGATTCCCTTGTGATTTCTATTCACACAGTTGCTCAAACTGGCCATCCAGGAAAAAGCCCACAGCCTTTGAACCAAGTTTGGAACCAAACATCAAAGTGTTGCTCTAAGGATTTAAAGCCACTCTGCCTGAAGAAACTTACCTCTTGGATCACCTCCTCCTTCTGTGCCGTTCCCCACCAAAGTCCCTGTAAGATAAGAAAACTTTTTTTTTATTTTCAACATTTCACTATTCAGAGAATCACTAAAAAGAACCATGCTCACCTCTGTGCTTCCCTGCTCTCCACAGCTCATGACCAAAGTTGTTCACTTGTAAATAAATATCACTTACCTTTTTCCATCCAAGTCTTGGTCTGTTACTCAGTACTGCTATTTGGTTGAACCTAATTTTATGTCAAATATGGGCAGTACTGGACGTCAAATAACACTCTGCAAACATCAAACTGAGTGCTGTTATTGCACAAAGCTCCTTATTTCAGACTCCAGTGACCTATATTACAAAATACAGTAGCTGCCAATGGCTTGGCCCAGTTTTCTGTTTGTGGGTCTTCATATTTTAAATGCAAACTGTCTTGTGGCAGGAAATAGAAATGAACAGTTGAGTCCAATGCTATGTTCTTAATGAGGTAACGTGTGATGTGTTCTGGATGAAGCTTGGTTATAGACCACCATAGTGCAGGAGGAGATAAGGAGTGAGAAAAGAAGGGAGACACATTGTTGACAATTAATTCTGATTAAAATAGGCTGATTTTTTTTAGTTAAAATAGTGGTTTTACTATAAAATATTTGCAATATACATTATTTACTATATTTGGAATATATTTGGTTTAAGGGGCAGCAATCCATTTATTTATTTATTTATTTATTGGTTTTTTGGTAATTTTTTCACAATGTATTTTGTGTTAAGTCAAGTACGTAAAGTATTTGTGCTTTTTTCTTTGTAAATTTTACACCTGCCATGATTCTTCAATTAATGTGAATCAAATCATGTTAAGACTAATGTTATGGCAAGATTTGATACAAGGTCAATGGAAAACGCAAAGATAAACACAAGTGATATCTAAGAATGACTGTTGTTAGCAGATCCTGTTCTGACTTTAATCATTCTGTCTGCAGATGAACAGCAMGTCATGAAAACCTAGGTCATTAAAGGATGTCATGAATTACTGGCTTKAACATAAAAGTATTAGTTCTATTACACCTACCCACTGAGTGAACCCCAGTTAAAAACTTTCATGTAAAGGCTAACCCTTTCAAATGGGGAACTGCACATATAAACAAATAAACAAAAAAAAATCAGCAGAACTAAAACCGCCAAAAAAAAATCAGCAGAACTAAAACCGCTGTCTAAACACTGAGTAAATAGTAAAATGGTCGGCTTGACCAAGACATATCCATAGAGATAAATAAAGATGATTCTGTTGCCTGCTGTTGCAATCAAAATGACTGAGTCAGCAGTGCTGGAGAAGCTGAAGACCAACTGAACAATAGAGGAGCGCCAGTTCTCCTGTCTAGCCAATAATGTGCTATGAATGTACACCACAGATAGGATTTTTATTTACTTGGAGAGACKGCCTGCTTTAYGAAAGCCCTTCATAAAGCTAGAACTGTATATTATTCATCTTTACAAGAAAAGAATAAAAACAATCTCTGGTTTCTGTTCAGTACTGATGGTGGTCAGAGGGCTGGTGGAGCAGGATGACAGCCAACCACCTCTTCTAGTTCGACTTAGGTTTCCTGAGTTATTCCTTAGTTCTGCTGCTATAGACTTAGACTACTGGAGGACAAACTGTCCACATGTCCTCACCCTGCTGGAGGACAAACTGTCCACATGTCCTCACCCTGCTGGAGGAGGACATACTGTCCACATGTCCTCACTCTGCT